ACTGTTTTAAATTTAAAATTTGATACTGATCCAGGCCTTCTAGAGATCCGGCGAACCCTCACTGCTTTCTCGTTGTGGTTTTGCCTTCACAAGTGTTTCTATTACGAAAGTTGTATGGCGTGACAGACAACTTGAACACGCCACCTATACGCCCCACCAACGCCTAGCCAGCGCCCCTTTTTCTTGTCTATAAACCAATCAAAATTACGTATTACATCACGCCTTGTTCGCGCATTGAATTTCATCAAAGAATGAGTAGCCTTCAAACAGGGCAACAGTTATGTATTTTGGCGTTCGAATACTGTTAATTTATATATGCTGTTACCAAAAAGAGATGGAATTGCTTAACGAATAGAAAAGGTGACATTTTACTTGAAATCGGGGGACAATAAGTTTGATGTTTTGTGTGCATAGCAAATGAGGAAGTCGAACCATTGCTGTTTCACATGCACAGCACGTGTACAGCAACAATACCATCTCAGGCCACAGTCGTGAAAAACAAATGTCACGTTCGCCAGAAAAGATCATGACAAAAGGCCGCAGGGATGCATGTTAAGAACGTTGATTGCAGCCGAATGTCTCAGAAATATCTGGATGTCCTTCAGGTTTGAGTAGTGAGGAGAAGATAAGTTACTGAGTGAATATTACACAGAGAGAAAACCCTCGCTTTGCACCTGTCGAAGGGAAAAGAGTGGTAAACACAAGCTTATCATATTCAATGGAGTCGAGACGGTTAAAATCTGTAGAGCACTCTTTCCTCGCTGTGATGGAACAGTTTTTGCAAACGGTGGATTTGATGGATCATACAGTCCTGATTCCCATGAAGTTGATCGATCTGCCCGTAAAGGATCTTATTCCTGCGAAAGGTTCCGCCGCCGATTCGTTTCTGCAAAACAATATGAACATGAGGGCATTCTATTTAATGGTGAAAGCCATGCGAATTAAATTGTCGCTTGGACATAGTCATTACAGCGAAGACGAAGAGAGCCTTGTTCCGCTAGAACGGGAAATTCGAGAATCTTGTCACCGTTTAAATCAGCTCGCCTTGGTCGCCAGGTACATCAAAACTTCGACGCTAAATCTGGGCCCGAACGACGAGCTTCCCTCTTTTCAAAATTTTAAAAACAAAACTCTCCTTGCTGCTGAAAATTGTCTTCTCGGCGCGTTGAAGAAATTTGTCGATGAGGTGGAATCCTTGGAGAAGTCAGTCCTTTTTCCTTGCCTGTTGAAAGATCACCGAGTTAGCGAGCAGATGCCGCAGTTTAACGAAGGGATCCAAACTCTGTACGATGTTTTCGCTTTGCTCAAGACCCTGCGAGCGGAACTGCTGTCAGGATCGCGGAATTTCGAGCTGCCAGATGCCAAACTGCAACAGAAGTTATCCGAACTGCTTCAGACTTTTTCTCGATATACTGACATGGCGAGAAACCTCACTGCCCGCTACGAAGAAGAGGTGCGATGTTCTTGATTTCGTTTCTTGAGAGAGGAACGCGCGAGATACAGTGGGGTGAACTTTATTAATGCAATGCTATGAAATGCCTACTTTCCACAGTAGGTTTAAAGAAAATGTCTGTAAATATTATGTGTAAAATTTCTAAGAAAATGAGTACTTTGTACTTTACTTCTCGCTTTACTTGTACAAAAAAGACTGATTGAGTTATGCATGTTAATTTCATGGAAAGAAAGCCAAGTTTATATCAACGCCTGAAGGGCACTAATAAATCAGCTTGTTATTCATTTGCATTAAATGGTGAGGCAATTATTATGAAGGAATAAAAATTTGTGCATCGCATTTAAGTTGTAGTTTTCTATTGAATTTGTCTTTGTCCGGTTAAAGTAAGACTTTTGAACCGTGTTATTTCCTTATGCGGCGTTTTATTCTCGAGAATTTGCACTGCTTGTCATCTTCAAAAACAAGTTCATTTTATGGCCGTAGGCGGAAATTCTAAAAATGGGCGACAGGGCAGTTACGTAATGATCTATAAACATGTTTTGAAGGAAAGTCGAGGAAGCTGCTATTCTAGAGTTTTCTGAGCGCAAAGCAAACGCCCTTGAAAGCATTAATTTTATTTTGACATATATTGGTCTGAGAGCTTCTTGCGCACGTTTTGCCATTATATCTTAAACTCCTTCTAGAGCAACTTTTTATTAAAGGGGATGAAAGTCGTGCGGGCAAAATTCAAAGTGGTCAAAGATTACGCCGAAATTTGCACCGAGTCCGAAGTGGAAAAAACTAGGTGATGACAAATCCAATTTTGACATAAACCAAACTTATTTTCCTTTACTTTCTGTTTTTCAATGACTTGCACGTAGGCATTCGCTAATATTCAATTGTACTTAAAGTTTGAGTAGCTGAATTCAGTTAATAGACTAGACGTAAATGCCGCTAGTTTACAATCGGCCGTGACTTCCGGATTGGAAAAAATATATATCCCTTGAAGTAGTAAAACACCGAATATTTTAAATCCCTGACCAAAATCAGCGCGAAAGGAAACGTCCAAAGTACTGTAGAAGAAAGGAAATAACATTTGTTTGGCTGGACGGCTGCCGAAACTAACTGGTACTTTACAATCATGAGCGAGACAGCGGTGAACACGTGCCAAACAAAAGTTTGGGTCTGCATGGCTATCACATGCCCCGGAAGTAGACTCGGTGCGCTAAACCTTTATTCAACCCGTATTCAAAATTCCTAGTCTTGCAATAGGGGAGCCGTCACGTCTCCTTAATAACAATGATGGTAATAACAAAATCTCCGATAAAAGATAAAATGATTTTAAAAAAACATTCATAGCATGCACTACAGGGCAGGCAGGAGCCAATAAACTCCTTTCACCAGTTCACAGACAAGTCTATTTTTAGTTACATTTCCGGAAGCTGATCTTTGGCCTAATTTCCCCTAAGGAATCCCCTCCCTTTTTCCCTTCCTCCAAATCCCTTACCCCTTTCGACGTCTGCTACGCAAACGAACTTTATACGCGTAGGTAGCCTGCGTGGCGCTGGTTATTATTATTATTTTTTTACAGATTTAATCCTACCTATGATAAACCGATCTGAACCAGGAGCCCACCGTAATCAGCTCCGGTCGGAGCTACGTAAACCGTAAAATTCCGAAAACATACCCCGGGGCTTCTATTTTTCAAAGGCCCTTTTTGAGGGGCTTATATACGGAGGGAAATTTGCGTCTCAAAATCGATTGGGCTAGCTCTATAGTTAGAAGTAAATTTACCATTTTTGCTTTGTTTTACGTTATGTTCGAGGGCAATTTTCCAAGTACAAGCCCAAGGGGGGCCTATATTTGTAGGGGCGATTTAACGGAGGGTTTTTTGGGTTACGAGTTTTGGGAGCTTATATTTGGACAAGAGAGAATGAGATCATTCTCTCTTGATTTGGAGGGGCGTATAGATGGAGGGGCTTATTTTCGGAATTTTACGGTAATGCAATACCGAGTTCGCCCCATATAAGGGAATCCGAGTTCCGGAATCCAGGAAATTTTTGTTTATGGAATCCGAGATCCTAGGTTTTGGAATCCGGAATACAGCTCAAGGAATCCGGATTCCCATTAACGATTGGAATCCAGAATCCAAGTTCTACTGATAAATACTGGAATCCGGAATCCACTGCGTGGATTCCAGAATCCAAGACTGTCCTGGATTGCTTTACACAAGGCAAAAACGCCGCGAATAATTAAGAAGTTAGTCTGAGAACTTCAAAAGACTGGCAGATTTTTCAGTCTTCGGAATGCTGATTTTTAGTCTTAATAATTCGGTAATCTTCATGATCATTACGCACATGCAGTTATTGATACACAAGCCAGCAAACCTATGGCCAGATCCGATTTGCTGTAGGAAAGCTGCGTGAGACGGCAGATCCAGCGATACGGCTGTCAAAGCCCGCACATACGGACAGTTTGCTTTGTTCCCCGGGGGATGGGGTACTCCCTTATATCATGGATAATAGAAAGACGTCTTTCTATTATTTTCTATTATCCATGCTTTTATAGTCTCCCTCGAAGCCGTTTTTAGTATCGTCACGCAACGCTCCTCCCCACGGAGGAGCGTTGCGTGACGATACTAAAAACGGCTGCGAGGGAGACTAATGCTTTTATGGCCTTTTCGCCACCTGCACATATACCATTAATTGCCTCCCTCCCCGCCCCCCAAAAATTCTGCATTGTTTTCAATTTCTCCTGACGGCTGTAATATCCAGGAGAAATGAAAAACAAAGGTTATGCTTGAAATTTTGGTGGGCAAATAAGGTGCATTACCGGCCATGTGCAAGTGGCCTATACTGGGATGTTGCGCTGGACGGGGTATGGTTTTCGTTCTCTCTGTCCTAAACAGGGTGTATAATTCCGCGAAAGTCTATCCTAAACCGGTGTACATGTCCTTTGTCCTAAACGGAGTATATCAAGGGCGTCGTCTTAAAAAGGCTATATATGTGTTTTACCAACTACTTGTCCTTAAACGGTGCTGTGTTGAGTTTGCGTTCCTGGTGTTGGGTACATCCACTTGAATAGCTATTTGGATGATCCCAACTCGCTCTCTACTTGATTTTACTATTTTTAATTCATTATTTTTACATAAAGAGTTTAAATGTCTCGCTAATGAGGACACTAACTCCGAGGTCCCTACAGTGTCCGCAATAAAGGAAGCTGACTGAATCTGTCTGTCTCCATTTGATATACCACCCAACCGATGCCGGGGCTAACGCGACACGGTTGCTTGTTTCATTACACTCTGCATCCAAAAAAGTAATTTGCATCTTTCTGAGCTGATGTTTTTATGATGTCGTGCTTCATATAAAAGCCTTTTGCTTCTCTATGAGTGTCACTAGACTACAAAGGCGCCTCGGGGGCTCTATGCAATAGTGCTCTGTGATTGGTTGGAAGGGCCTTTGATTCCGAGAAAAGTTAAAAATAGAAACGTCACAAAACTTCATTGTTAGATGTAGACTAGACTCTGCGACACAAAAGGTCACTTCTTTGTTATTTTGAAGAAGACATGGATCTCACAACTCTATTTCACAATCTTCGCGAAGAAGTGTCTTGTTCGGTGTGTTCGGACTTGTTCACAGATCCTAAACAACTCTCCTGTCTGCACAGTTTTTGCTTGAAATGTGTAAATCAGTGGTACCAGACGTGCGGCGGCGGAGACGCCATTAAATGCCCGAAATGCCAAACGCTAAGCAGAATACCAGCAAGCGGTGATCTTAAAGATCTTCCAACAAGCTTTTATTTGAATGGTTTTATCGATGTTCTTGCCATCAAAGAATGCAAGAACACTCAACTAACATGCGGAAACTGTGACAAGAAGAGCTCGGAAGCGTCGTATTGTTTCCAGTGTTGCATATTTTTTTGCGAAGAATGCTTAATGTTTTATAGTAAAATGCGAGAAAAAACGGGACACCGTGCTTTGGCAGTAAAGGAATTCCAAGATAAAGACTTCGAGGATGTATTGAAGCGACCAATATTTTGTTCAAGACAAGGACACCAGCAAGAAGAGCTCAAATACTACTGCAAAGAATGCGAAACGGATCTTTGTCAAACTTGCGTCACTTTGGATCACGGAGGTCATTTTTTCAAATTGATCGAAGAAGAAGCTGAAACCAAAAAACTTGAGATCAAATCTGTAATCGGAAAGCAGAGACAAAATTTAGAAGCAAAAATGAACATAGTAAGTCAACTGGATGAAGACTGTGCGAAAGTGATTCAACAAAGCGAAGTATTAAAAAGAGACGTTCAAAGGTTTGCTGATCACTTGATCAAAACAATTCAAGCAAAAATGCAAAATATAATCACTACAGTGGAAGGCCAAACTAAGACGTCCATTGAGAGTTTGACAGCAAAAAGGAAGGAGCTTCAGCACCAAATTAAAGTTATTGATTCATCAGTGGAAGAAGCTGATAAACTCTTTCAGAGAAGTACCAATGCTGAAGTTGTTCAGCTTAAAAAAACATTGCAAACAATTTTTGAGAGGGCGGATCAGACAGAGGTTGTTACTCATGACCCTGGAACTCAAGAAGATTTGGTTTTCATTGAAAATAAGAAAATGCTTGATGTTGTGAACGGAGAAGATATTGGATCCTTGGAAACACTTTATCAGACAAAAGCAAGTGAATCTCTGGCTGAAGGCGATGGACTGAAAGAAGGAACTGTAGCGCGTAAAGCTCAATTCAATTTGATCACAAGAAACGCTAAGAGAAAACAGGGATATGATTGGAGGGACCGTGTCACGGTAGACATTAAAGACGAGCAAGGACAAGAATGCGTGACGGAAGTGAAAGTACAGAACATGAAATATGGCACCTACAATGTTAGTTTTTATCCCAGAGTTAAAGGAACATTCAAATTGTATGTTAAGGTAAATGAGGAACATATTCGTGGAAGCCCTTTTGCAACAAGGGTAAAATCATTTCATGCAAAACCTGTTTTATGTTTTGGAGAGAAAGGTTCGGGTGATGGGATGTTTAAGAATCCTCTGGGGGTGGCAGTGACTGACAAAGACGAAATAGTAGTAGCTGACTGTTTGAACCATCGGGTTCAAGTGTTTGACAGTAATGATACTTTCTTAAGATCCTTTGGTCGCCAAGGAAAAAAAACCGGAGAGTTCAACAGACCTTTTGGAATAGCCATTGATAAGGATAGAAAAATTTTGGTAGCAGACCAAGATAACCATAGAGTGCAGATCTTTAGTTGGGAGGGGAGGCATCTGGGTTCATTTGGCGGCAAAGGAAGCCTTGACAGTCAGCTCTCTAACCCTTGGGGTTAATCCTTAGATAGTACTGGTAATGTTATTGTTGCTGAGTCAGGTAACAAACTGATTAAGATCTTTACCCCGGATGGAAAGTTTGTGATGAAGATAGGTGGGCAGGGTTCCTTAAATGGTCCTGTTCACTGTGTTCAGTGTGGTGAATATTTCATAGTGTCAGACAGAGATGAACACTGTATCAAAGTATTTAACAGGGAGGGGCACTTTCAGTACAAGCTTGGTAAGAAGGGGCAAGGGGACGGAGAATTTAGTTATCCTGGTTATTTGTTAGTGAATGAGTCACAGCATCTGTTTGTCTGTGATCGTTTTAATTATCGAGTTCAGGTCTTTGAACTTAACGGAAAATTCATCGGGAAGTTTGGAACAAAAGGCAGCAAGTTAGGAGAATTTAATTATCCCTTGTCAGTGGCATTGCTTAGTAATGGGCGAGTTGTTGTGTCTGATGAGGGTAATCATCGAATTCAAATATTTGAATGAAAAGTGGCTAAATTTCGAACATATTGGCAAACAATGGCAAATTAAAGCATGTTATTCCAAATATAAATCGAAATATCCAAGGAAAATTAAGTTAGTCCACATTCGTTAATTTTTTTTTTTTTTTTTAACATAAAGATAGTCCATAGTATGTAGTCCACATACTGTAATTTAAACCGTTTATAAAAAGGAGGGAACAATAGGCTACTCCAGAATACCATAACATACCATAATGGTCTTTGTTTGTCACCCCAAAATTTTGCATAAGCATTGTCTTCAGTTTCTCTTGGGAGTTAAAATGGCCCCAAGAGAAACTGAAGACAATGCTTATGCAAAATTTTGGGATGACAAACAAAAAGTATTATGGTATGTCATGGTATTTTCTGGAGTGGTCAATAGGGAGTAACATCACGTGCTAAAAGACTATGTTGACTTGAGGGCTTGAGTTGGTAAGCTCTTTTGGTCGTTTTTGTCATCGATACTTTGCGATGGTCAAGGCAACCAGCTATGACAATGTAAGTAAAAATATTAAGACTAAACATTAGCCTAGTCATAAATGTCTTTTTTACTGTTTATTAAGTGCTGGTCATTGCCATTATAGTTTCAGTTTAGTTTCTTTTTTTTTTTTCATCAATGAGATATGAAAAGCATGGACCAGGTTTTACGTAAAATGCCTGCTGTACAACATGGACGAGGTCTGAGTTGTGCGTCTAGTTCTACCTTAAATTTAATGATTTTAATTTTACCTCAAAACAAGCGTTATTCTTACTTTCCAGGACATATTATTTTTGCGTAAAGCAATAGGCCATTTCCAAGTTCCAAAAAATCTCACTTTCAAAACGAGGCTAAGTGCGAAACCTTTGTTGTGAAAATGAGTTATTAACACAATTCACTGCTTTGTAATATTTATAACTATAACGAGAATCCCTGAAATAAACAGAGATTATCTTTGGCCAACTAAATTGGGAGTTAAACAGTGAGTGCAGATTCTAGTCTATTCAATTGAGCAAACTTTACAGCCATCTTATTACTCCTACGTCAAAATTAGCGGAATAACACAGTTTAAATAACACAGTATGGCCAGTAGCTTACGCATGCGCACAGCCATATAACTCGAGCCATGGAGGGAGAGCTGTTTCGCTCTCATTGCGACTCATGAGCATGGGCCCATGAACACGGCTTTGATCTTACAGGGGTCCAAAGGCTATGCCATGCTGATGAGCCCTAACGAGGGGCGCAAGAGCTGTCCATGGTTGCCACTGCTCGGTTGATATTGCTGTCCGCAAGCGTAAGGTACTGGCCATACCGCAGAGTTTGGTAGAGTGTGCTTCCTTGCAGATTTTTGTCTTCCTATTGTTTGTAAGAGCCAACTTAAGACCACCAACATCCTCTTAACCCTACCAATGAACAACCTCGACTGGTATGAATCTTGGGCCGAAGATTTTCGTGAAACTGAGTTGGACTTTGTGTTACTGGATATTCACAAGCCAAAACTTCAAACTGATACGACTTGCGAGGGAGCAAAGCACACGACACTAGTTATCACAAAAAAGGGAAAATATGGCAAAAGAAAAGAATTAACCACCACAAGCCCGCTTGGGATGTGCGGGGAAAAGAAATGTGTATAAAAAAGGCTAAACGACGTTATACTGTATTGAAGAGTTAAAACCACTAAAGCTCTTATTTAGTTGTCTGTTTAGCATGGCCTACTTTGTTGGGGGTCAAATAAAGCCGTAGCCACCGTTAGAGGTTTAATTTTCTGAGTTTCCCAACCAGCATCTCCGTCTTTCTCTCAAGCCCTGGAGTCCGACCGGGCGCATCGGGTAAAGATGACCGTAACAAAATCGATTACATTTTCTTCCTCTCCCTTCTTCCACACTATTATAGTCTGCCTCGATCTGTTCCTCCACTATTTTCCCTAGAAAGCCTGTTTGCAGACTACGTATAAATGCACCGCCCTCAGGCCTTGAGTTTTCCCTCTGGCCGACGTAAAAAAGGCTAAGCGTTGCACCCAGGAGCTCTCCTGCTTGCACCTTAATCAGCATGCTGGTGTGTCGTGCCCATGCTCCAAATATAGTCATTCCACTCATTGAACACTTTAAACGTTAAACCTGAAGTAACAGATGTGGTTTCATGGTATAATGGCTCATAAAAAGTTCAAATCAGATCACGCAAGTAAACATTATTTTGAATGTGCCTCTATGTTTATTTTGTTTTCTTTGCTGACAAATCTCGTTTGTTACCGAAGACTGTAGTTCGAGAGCCATCGTAGTTTGATCAAAAATAAAACACAAGCAGCGGTGATAAACATTGTGAGTTTTCGCATTAGCATACGAGACGTCAAGTTTATAAAAATGCGAAAACTCACAATGTTTATCACCGCTGTTTGTGTTTTACTTTTGATCAAACTGTAGTTCGAAACTGATACACTATTAACCCCGGGTGTTAACACAAAACAACTGCATTATGTCATTACAAGCACGACAACAGAGAGAAAGTTAACCAGAAAGGTACAGTTATTCAGTTCACGGTTGCTTGTTTTACGGCACTCTGCATAATAAAAAGTAATTTGCATCTTTATGAGCTGATGTTTTTACGGTGTCGTGCTTTATATAAATGGCTTTTGCGTCTAGTATAGATGATTGACACTTTACTACTAAGGCGCGTCAGAGGCTCCAATACAATACTGCTCTGTGATTGGTTCGAAGGGTCTTTGATTCCGAGAAAAGCTAAAGATAGAAACGTCACAAGACTTGATTGTTGGGTGTAGACTAGACTCTGGGACACAAAAGGTCATTTCTCTGTTATTTTGAAGAAGACATGGATCTCACAACTCTCTTTCACAATCTTCGCGAAGAAGTTTCTTGTTCGGTGTGTTCGGACTTATTCACAGACCCTAAACATCTCTCCTGTCTGCACAGCTTCTGCTTGAAGTGTGTAAAACAGTGGTACGAGACGTGCGGAGGCGGAGACGCCATTAAATGCCCGAAATGCCAAACGCTAAGCAGAGTACCAGCAAGCGGTGATCTTGAAGATCTTCCAACAAGCTTTTATTTGAATGGCTTTATCGATGTTCTTGCCATCAAAGAATGTAAGAACACTCAACTAACATGTGGAAACTGTGACAAGAAGAGCTCGGAAGCGTCGTATTGTTTCCAGTGTTGCATATTTTATTGTGAAGAATGCTTACTTTGTCATACTAAAATGCGAGAGAAAAAGGGGCACCGTTCTTTGGCAGTAAGAGAATTCCAAGATAAGGACTTTGAGGATGTATTGAAGAGACCTGTATTTTGTTCAAGACAAGGACATCAGAAAGAAGAGCTCAAGTACTACTGCAAAGAATGTGAAACAGTTCTTTGCCAAACTTGCGTCATTCTGGATCACGGAGGTCATGGTTTGAAATTGATCGAAGAAGAAGCCGAAACCAAAAAACTTGAGATCAAATCTGTAATCGAAACGCAGAAACAAAATTTAGAAGCAAAAATGAACGTACTGACTCAACTGGATGACGACTGTGCTAAAGTGATTCAACAAGGCGAAGTGTTAAAAACAGATGTTCAAAAGTTTGCTGATAACTTGATCAAAACAATTCAAGCGAAAATGCAAAATATAATCACCACAGTGGAATGCCGAACTAAGAAGTCCATTGAAAGTTTGACAGCAGAAAGGGACGACATTCAGCAACAAATTAATGTTATTGAGTCATCACTGGAAGAAGCTGATAAACTCTTTCAGAGAAGTACCAATGTTGAAGTTGTTCAGCTTACAAAAACACTGCAAACAATATTTGACGGGGTCGATCAGGGAGAGGTTATTGCTCATGACACTGGGAATCAAGAAGCTTTAGTTTTCATTAAAAATCAAAAAATGCTTGATTTTGTAAAGGAAGAAGAAATTGGATCCTTAGAAAAACCCTATCGGACGAAATCAAGCGAATCTGTGGCTGAAGGCGAAGGACTGATTGAAGGAATTGTTGCGCGCAAAGTTCAATTCAATTTGACCACAAGAAACGCAGAGAGAAAGCAGTGGTATGATCAGAGGGACCGTGTCACGGTAGAGATTAAGGACGAGCAAGGACAAGAATGCGTGACGCAAGTGAAGGTTCAGGACATTAAAGATGGTACCTACCATGTTAGTTTTTATCCCAGAGTTCAAGGTACATTCAAATTGCATGTTAAAGTAAACGAGGAACATATTCGTGGCAGCCCTTTTACGATGAGCGTAAAACCATTTCATGTAAAACCTGTTTTATGTTTTGGAAAGGAAGGCAAAGGTGATGAAATGTTTAAGTATTCTCGAGGTGTGGCAGTGACTGAAAAAGACGAAATAGTAGCAGCTGACGAGTACAATCATCGGGTTCAAGTGTTTGACAGTAATGGTACTTTCTTAAGATCCTATGGTCGCGGAGGTAAAAATGTTGGAGAGTTCAACTACCCTGATGGAATAATTGATAGGGATGGAAACATTTTCGTAGCAGACCGCGGTAACCACAGAGTGCAAATCTTTAGCTGGGAGGAGACGTATCTGGGTTCATTTGGCGGCAATGGAAGCCTTGATAATCAGCTGTCCAGTCCTCGGGGTTTATCCTTAGATAGTACTGGTAATGTTATTGTTGCTGATACAGGAAACAAACTGATTAAGATCTTTACCCCGGATGGTAGGTTTGTAATGAAGATAGGTGGGCAGGGTTCTTTTAGTTCTCCTGTTCACTGTGTTCAGTGTGGTGAATATTTCATAGTGTCAGACCTACGTGAACACTGTATCAAAGTATTTAACAGGGAGGGGCATTTTCAGTACAAGTTTGGTGAGCAGGGGAAAGGGGACGGGGAATTTTGTTACCCTGGTTATTTGTTAGTGAATGAGTCACAGCATCTGTTTGTCTGTGATCGTGATAATCATAGAGTTCAAGTCTTTGAACTTAACGGAAAATTCATTGGGAAGTTTGGAACAGAGGGCAGCAAGTTAGGGGAATTCAGTAAACCCTTGTCGATGGCAATGCTTAGAAATGGCCGAATTGTTGTGTCTGATGAACGTAATCATCGAATTCAAATATTTGAATGAAAAGTGGCTATATTTCTTGAACATATTAGCAAATTAAAGCATGTTATTCCAAATATAAATCTAAATATCCCAGGAAAATTAAGTTAGCCCACATTCGTTAATATTTTTTTAAAAAACGTAAAGATAGTCCATAGTATGTAGTCCACATACTGTAATTTAAACCGTTTATAAAAAGGAGGGAACAATAGGGAGACACTAACATCAAGTGCTAAAAGACTATGTTGACTTGAGGGCTTGAGTTTGTAAGCTCTTTTGGTCGTTTTTTGTGATCGATACTTTGCGATGGTCAAGGCAACCAGCTATGACATAACATAACATAAAACTTTATTTAAACTCGAATTTTAGAGTAGCTAACAAGCTAATATCTTCGAGCTGACACTACATGAAAACTATATAGAAAATATATATATACATTAAATGCAAGGAAAGAAAATATCATTTACAATTTACAATTCACAATTTTAAGTTTAAGTATGTCAGGCAAAAAGAATCTACATGAAGGTAACATCCTGTAAATGTGATGTAAATGTGTAAATGTGTAAATGTGACAATGTAAGTAAAAATATTAAGACTAAACATTAGCCTAGTCATAAATGTATTCTTTACTGTTTATTAAGTGCTGGTCATTGCCATTATATTTTAGTTTCTTTTTTTTTTTTCATCAATGAGATATGAAAAGCATGGACCAGGTTTTACGTAAAATGCCTGCTGTACAACATGGACGAGGTCTGAGTTGTGCGTCTAGTTCTACCTTAAATTTAAAGATTTTAATTTTACCTCAAAACAAGCGTTATTCTTACTTTCCAGGACATATTATTTTTGCGTAAAACAATAGGCCATTTCCGAGTTCCAAAAAATCTCACTTTCAAAACGAGGCTAAGTGCGAAACCTTTGTTGTGAAAATGAGTTTTATTTGCATCATAATTAAAAATCATTTTCATATCAATGGCTTCGCACTTAGCCTCGCTTTGAAAGTGAGATTTTTTGTAACTCTGAAATGGCCTATTTACCCATTCATTCCGCCTTTTTCCTCATTTCTCCCCGCCCCACGATTTGGAACTGTTGGGTTTTGAGGACAGGGACCCGGAGATATAAAAACCTCTCAGAGCAAAGGCGAGAACCAACGACAAACTCAACGCTCATGTAGCGTCACTTCCGGCGGAATTCGAACCCAGGGCCTATTGATAGGTGCTGCGCCACACATCAGTTTTCACCTACGCTTCCCAATTGAACAGAAGAAAAATTTTCTTTTTTACCCGCGATTTATTTTATCGTTTATTAAGCCAATATTTTCTTTTCTCCACATGTTTTCCTTGCAAACAAACAAATCGGAATTTGCGCATGTGGAATTTTTTTTCTCCGCCTTGTCATGCACGGTTCGCAATGGTACCTGGGACGAATCAGCGCACCAACTTAAACTTTAAAACAGCTCACTGAATTTTATTTACAATTTTAAGATAGGAGATAGAATAGGAGTAAAAGCTGCAGCGATAAAATTTGTTTGAAACTCTTGCTTGCTAACCTTTTATCTGGCGATGTCTTTTAGCGCCACTTAAGAGCATCCAATTATAAAAGGCGTTATTAAGTGTTCTAAATGATGATAACGTCGGATCACACTACATTGTACCAGAGAGGGAAAGAGAAGTGCAGCCACCCACACCCTTTTACTCACCCCCAACCCACTCCACTCTGTCTCTCCTCCGGTCATTGTCATTTCACATGACGTAGCAATCCAGGGACCATTTACAAAAATTGTAACTTCAGAAGTTACTACTAATGTCTGGCGTTACAAAGAGTTTGACTGAATCGACTGAACATCAGACGTGAACATTTGCGGCAGAAGTTAAAGATTTGCGCAACTACGCCCTGTCATAAAAGATCACTTTTCGGTGACTGGCATGTTCACGTGAGCAGGAAAGACATGACAACAAGTTTTCTTTCTGCGAGAGTGTTCTTTTGAATAAGACACGTTCACCGTCTTTTCTTGGGCTTTCTCTTTGTTGCGGAATTCTTTCAACCCCGCTCCGCTGGTTCAAACAAATCAAGAGGACTGTATCTTTCGATGTAACAACACGATTTAATCCAATCCAACAATCTACTGTGATGTACAACTCTCATATACTCAACGTTCGTAACACAACGATCAACGTAACTGAACGATCAACGATCAACGATCAACTCAACTAAAACTAAAACATTCTAAGTATACAGTGGTTTTTCTACTATCCTTGCGTAAGGCAGTATTTTTACATTAATCACATGTACAGTAAAAGTTCCCATTGTAATGTATCTAAATTAAGTGTCTATTACAAAATCGCACGTTCTTTCACCTTATTTAGCCTAAGAAAATGCATGCAGTTACATCATTTTATATCCTAAATATACTTGGACTTTGTCTACATTATTGTGAAATCTAATGTCACGAAATCTAACTTTTGCGCTACAAATGTCAATTTCTAATTAATATTTAATCACAGAATAATCAAGTTAAGTATCACCTATTTCTTTCCCCGACACTCTTGTCTTTCCTGTTGTGCGATTCCTTCTTTTTACGCCTAAAAATGAAACGTGTTTTGTGTTACTGAATCATGACTCTTGCCACGAAAAATACAAAAGGAATTATCATGTCACAAACTGTCAAATTATACTTATTAACACAATTCACTGCGTTGTAATATTTATAACTATAACGAGAATCCCTGAAATAAACAGAGATTATCTTTGGACAACTAAATTGGGAGTTAAACAGTGAGTGCAGATTCTAGTCTATTCAATTGAGCAAACTTTACAGCCATCTTATTACTCCTACGTCAAAATTAGCGGAATAACACAGTTTAAATAACACAGTGTGGCCAGTAGCTTACGCATGCACCCAGCCATATAACTCGAGCAATGGAGGGAGAGCTGTTTCGCTCTCATTGCGACTCATGAGCATGGGCCCATGAACACGGCTTTGATCTTACAGGGGTCCAAAGGCTATGCCATGCTGATGAGCCCTAACGAGGGGCGCAAGAGCTGTCCATGGTTGCCACTGCTCGGTTGATATTGCTGTCTGCAAGCGTAAGGTACTGGCCATACCGCAGAGTTTGGTAGAGTGTGCTTCCTTGCAGATTTTCTTGCTATTGTTTGTAAGAGCCAACTTAAGACCACCAACATCCTCTTAATCCCACAAATGAACAACCTCGACTAGTATGAATCTTGGGCTTAAGATTTTCGTAAAACTGAGTTGGACTTTGTGTTACTGGATAATTCACAAGCCAAAACTTCAAACTGATACGACTTGCGAGGGAGCAAAGCACACGACACTAGTTATCACAAAAAAGGGAAAATATGGCAAAAGAAAAGAATTAACCACCACAAGCCCGCTTGGGATGTGCGGGGAAAAGAAATGTGTATAAAAAAGGCTAAACGACGTTATACTGTATTGAAGAGTTAAAACCACTAAAACTCTTATTTAGTTCTCTGTTTAGCATGGCATCCTCAGTTGGGGGTCAAATAAAGCCGTAGTCACCGTTAGAGGTTTAATTTTCTGAGTTTCCAAACCAGCATCTCCTTCTTTCTCTCAAGCCCTGGAGTCCGACCGGGCGCATCGGGTAAAGATGACCGTAACAAAATCGATTACATTTTCTTCCTGTCCCTTCTTCCACACTCTTATAGTCCACCTCGATCTGTTCCTCCACTTTTTCACCTAGAAAGCCTGTTTGCAGACTACGTATGAATGTACCGACTTCAGGCCTTGAGTTTTTCCTGTGGCTGACGTAAAAAAGGCTAAGTGTTGCACCCAGGAGCTCTCCTGCTTGCACCTTAATTAATGAGCATGCTGGTGTGTCGTTGCCCATGCTCCAAATATAGTCATTCCACTCAGTGAACATGTTAAACGTTAAACCTGAAGTAACGGATGTGGTTTTATGGTAATAATAGCTTCTAAAAAGTTCAAATCAGATCACGCAAGTAAACATTATTTTGAATGTGCCTCTATGTTTATTTGTTTTCTTTGGTGACAAATTTTGTTTGTTACCGAAGACTGTAGTTCGAGGGCCATCGTACCAGTTGATAAAAAATAAAACACAAACAGCAGTGATAAACATTGTGAGTTCTCGCATTAGCAGACGAGACGTCAAGTTTATAAAAATGCGAAAACTCACAATGTTTATCACCGCTGTTTGTGTTTTATTTTTTATTAAACTCTAGTTCGAAAGATACACTGATAACCTCGAGTGTTAAGACAAAACAACGGCATTATATCATTGCAAGCACGACAACAGAGCGAAATTTAACCAGAAAGATACAATTATTCAGTTCACGAATGCTTGTTTTGCGGCACTGTGCACAATAAAAGGTAATTTGCATCTTTATGCGCTGATGTTTTTACAGTGTCGTGCTTCATAATATATAGATTTAGCCAGGGCTAAAAGCGAGGCTCCCATTAATAAATTTATAATTTAAATTAAACAATAAACTTGTATTCGAATTCCACAATTCAGTTAACTTTAGAGCACATTTATGTGACTTTTGAGGGAAAGGCTACCTGATTTTAGAGAAAAATAATTTGCAAACAGCCCAAGAGTGAATCAAATGTTACATCGAGTTGATAGCCTCATATGTACACCCAAAAACTGGTAATCACCTTCGATCACATTTAAGAGCCATAATGGCTCTTGATCACCGTAGATTAATTAGTGGAAAAAAAATCAGGCCAACTTTTTTGCGTTCGACAAGTTTACTTTGCAAAATCTTGTCAACAAATCTGGGTGCGTGTAAACCAACCTTTTATACCATTTATACATCATATCTGAGGTGAAACAGTAGTATGAGGCACTGTTTTTATCATACCGGCAGACCTTGAAAGCAGTATTTCACAATACAAATTGCACTCATTCAATATTCATAAACTGTTAAAAAAATTTCCAAAATCACCTACACGGCCATCCGGTTCTCACTTTTGTAGTGCGAGCTCACTCAATGGCGAGTGTTTGAATGAACATTAACAGAGTTACGCTCCAACATTATAAAGAATTTATTCTGTTTATTTTTTATTTAATGGTTTATTAACGCGCGGCATTTTGAGTACTCCTGCAAGCGATGTTCACTGAACGACTGAAAACAATCGGCACAGCGATTAAAATTACAAGAGAGACTACTAACAATCAATAAAAGAAACATAATTCGGTGAAACATATACAGAAACAACAATTTTCATTCAGGAAGACATGTATTAAAGTATCCCTAAAAATCCTGAGTCTTCAAGCTTCAAGCTTAAGTTTATGTTTTAAGCCGGCTTCCCGGTGTTTGCTTTTTTCAAAGACGAACTCGAGGCAAGAAAATCGCTCAAAGCTTTCTTTTCCGGCCAGAATTATAACTAAATTTTCTTTGGAACGTTTTCTTTCTATTTGCGGTGAGAAACTGTCTAAACGCTTTTTAAAGTTCTGTAAGCTTATATCAAACCTGATACTCGGTCAGATCATTGTCTCAAATCTTACAAACGTGCATAAACTAAATGACCGCATAAACTCCGCTCGACTTCATTAAATTAGATCCAAAAAAACAAACATCAAATACAATAATTTCTCTGGCTTACCATTTGAGATGCAGCTCCTGAAAGGTATCAAGAAAAGCCAGTATCGCTTCAGACTTTGCAATCCTCTTACGCATCAAGCAAGGTGAAAACGAAAACGATGCCATCCGAAATCGGATTTCCGACTTTGACAAGCGACGTATTCCTCAACCAAAAACCCAATAAACAAACTAGCCATGAATAACAGAGGACTCCTGATAGCAGCTGAATTTCATTTTGCATATCCAGTGGAAAAAGACAGTTAAAAACATCACAAGTTGACACAAAACTCTGTCAGCTTCAGCTGTCAAAGTAAACAAGATTCAAGATGCTGCATAAATTTTCCGCATGAACTCGCCTGTCAAATTTTGACCAATCAGAGCATAAAAATTGGACGTAGAGCGTGACCAACGCGTGACCATGGTGAGAAAAGTCAAAAGCAACTGTCTTCCCTGCCTGTAACAGCTGGCTGAATTTTCGCGTCCGAGGTCAGTTTCCAATCAAAATTTTAATTGTGTAGCACATAAACACAACATATTTCATATGAATTTAGAAAAAACTTCAACTTGAGCCTGCGATCACTTGAAAACTAGTAACTTGTCAGCGGATAACTTCAAAAAAATACTTGACCTCGATGGGTCGACACCTGAGCCCGCGATACGGTCAAGTGATACTGGTCAGCGGGTACCCTGTTTTGACAGCTGTCAATTGATCAAAACATTAATGTCCAATATGTGTGCATTATCAGTTTAACTAGTAAAAGTATGAGATTGAACATTGTTCGCGATCTAGTAAAACAATTAACTGGTCAGCGGACAGCTTCCAAATAAATCACGTCACCTCGATGAGTTGAAACATGAGCCCGCGATATGGTCATGGGATACTGGTCAGTGGCTATCCTCTTTTGCCAGCTGTCAATTGACCGTATTGTGAATGTCCTAAAATATCCTATATTAAAGATGTGGACTTGCCAAGACACGCCTGAGACACCCCTATTTATAGCCCCGCTATAAATAGCTTTTGCCTCTAGTATAGATGATTGACACTTTACTACTAAGGCGCGTCAGAGGCTTTAATAGAATACTGCTCTGGGATTGGTTCGAAGGGCCTTTCATTCCGAGAAAAGCTAAAGATAGAAACGTCACAAGACTTGATTGTTGAGTGTAGACCAGACTCTGCGACACAAAAGGTCATTTCTTTGTTATTTTGAAGAAGACATGGATCTCAAAACTCTATTTCACAATCTTCGCGAAGAAGTGTCTTGTTCGGTGTGTTCGGACTTATTCACGGATCCTAAACAACTCTCCTGTCTGCACAGTTTTTGCTTAAAATGTGTAAATCAGTGGTACGAAACGTGCGGGGGCGGAGACGCCATTAAATGCCCGAAATGCCAAACGCTAAACAGAATACCAGCAAGCGGTGATCTTAAAGATCTTCCAACAAGCTTTTATTTGAACGGCTTTATCGATGTTCTTGCCATCAAAGAATGCAAGAACACTCAACTAACATGCGGAAACTGTGACAAGAAGAGCTCGGAAGTGTCCTATTGTTTTCAGTGTTGCATATTTTATTGCGAAGAATGCTTAATGTTTCATAGTAAAATGCGAGACAAAACGGGACACCGTGCTTTGGCGGTAAAAGAATTCCAAGATAAGGACTTCGAGGATGTATTGAAGCGACCAGTATTTTGTTCAAGACAAGGACATCAGAAAGAAGAGCTGAAATACTACTGTAAACAATGCGAAACGGCTCTTTGCCAAACTTGCGTCATTTTGGATCACGGAGGTCATGTTTTGAAATTGATCGAAGAAGAAGCCGAAACCAAAAGACTTGAGATCAAATCTGTAATCGAATCGCAGAGACAAAATTTAGAAGCAAAAATAAACATAGTAAGTCAACTGGATGAAGACTGTGCTAACGTTTTTCAACAAAGCGAAGTATTAAAAAGAGATGTTCAAAGGTTTGCTGATAACTTGATCGAAACAATTCAAGCAAAAATGCAAAATATAATCACTACAGTGGAAGGCCGAACTAAGAAGTCTATTGAAAGTTTGACAGCCAAAAGGAACGAGATTCAGCAACAAATTAATGTTATTGAATCATCACTGGAAGAAGCTGATAAACTCTTTCAGAGAAGTACCAACGCTGAAGTTGTTCAGCTTAAAAAAACATTGCAAACAATTTTTGAGGGGGTGGATCAGACTGAGGTTATCGCTCATGACCCTGGAACTCAAGAAGCTTTAGCGTTTATTAAAAATCAGAAAATGCTTGATGTTGTGAACGGAGAAGAAATCGGATTCTTGAAGGACCTTAACGGAACAAAAGCAAGTGAATCTGTGGCTGAAGGCGACGGACTGAAAGAAGGAACTGTAGCGCGTAAAGCTCAATTCAATTTGATTACAAGAAACGCAGAGAGAAAGCAGTGGTATGATGAACAGGACCGTGTAACGATAGAGATCAAGGACGAGCAAGGACAAGAATGCGTGACGGAAGTGAAAGTAGAGGACATGAAAGATAGCACCTACAATGTTAGTTTTTATCCCAGAGTTCAAGGAACATTCAAATTGTACGTTAAAGTAAATGACGAACATATTCGTGGAAGCCCTTTTACAACAAGCGTAAAACCATTTCATGTAAAACCTGTTTTATGTTTTGGAGAGGGAGGCTCGGGTGATGGGATGTTTAAGAATCCTCTGGGGGTGGCAGTGACTGACAAAGACGAAGTATTAGTAGCTGACTGTTTGAACCATCGGGTTCAAGTGTTTGACAGTAATGGTACTTTCTTGAGGTCCTTTGGTGACAAAGGTGAAAATGCTGGAGAGTTCGACTGCCCTTTTGCAATAGCCACTGATAAGGATAGAAAAATTTTCGTAGCAGACTGTGTTAACCATAGAGTACAGATGTTTAGTTGGAAGGGGAGGCACCTGGGTTCATTTGGCGGCAAAGGAAGCCTTGATAGTCAGCTCTCTAACCCTTGGGGTTTATCCTTAGATAGTACTGGTAATATTATTGTTGCTGATAGAGGTAACAAACTGATTAAGATCTTTACCCCGGATGGTAGGTTTGTAATGAAGATAGGTGGGCGGGGTTCTTTGAGTTATCCTGTTCACTGTGTTCAGTGTGGTGAATATTTCATAGTGTCAGACCGAGGTGAACACTGTATCAAAGTATTTAACAGGGAGGGGCATTTTCAGTACAAGTTTGGTAAGAAGGGGCAAGGAGACGGGGAATTTAATTGTGCTAGTTATTTCTTAGTGAATGCGTCACAGCATCTGTTTGTCTGTGATCGTGATAATCATAGAGTTCAAGTCTTTGAACTTAACGGAAAATTCATCGGGAAGTTTGGAACCCAAGGCAGGAAGTTAGGAGAATTTAATTATCCGTTGTCAGTGGCAATGCTTAGTAATGGCCGAATTGTAGTGTCTGATGAATTGAACCATCGAATTCAAATATTTGAATGACTATATTTCCTGAAAATATTGGCATAAACATGTTATTCTCCAAATATCAATCTAGATATCGAAGGTAAATTAAGTTAGTCCATTACTTCTGACGGACTTAAAGATTTAGTCCACATACTGTAATTTAAACCGTTGATATAAGTTTGCTTGGCCATAGGAGAGAAGACTAGGGAGACACTGGCATCAAGTACTAAAAGACTATGTTGACTTAAGTTTGTAAGCTCTTTTTGGTGGTTTTTTGTGATCGAGACTTTGCGATGGTCAAGGCAACCAGCTATGATAATGTAAATAAAAATATTAAGACAAGACGCAGTTATGCGTCTAGTTCTACCATACTTTTAACGAAATATTATCGTAACATGGATAAATTTTGAAAACGTACAAAGTGTATTTTGAGAAACAAGTGTGCTAAATTAGATTTAACATTGCTGTTCAAATAACTTTTATCCAGTGTATTTGTTTTGAGAGCCTCATGAGGGCCGCATTTTGAATAAAGCAGATACGAAAAAGCGGTTTGCTTGAGCAACTGATAAAACTCTGAGGGTCCAAGTCAGTACTGGATCAGTCATGTTAAACAATTTATCGAACTAAATCGCTGTTTTGCTTTTTTACCCCAAAACATACGTTATTCTTACTTTCCTGGCCCCGGTTGTTCAAACGTTGTATAGCGCTATCCACCGGATAAATCACTATCCAGCGGATAGTGCAATTGATTTCCGTAATACTTATCTGCTGGATAGTGATTTATCTGGTGGATAGCGCTATCCAACGTTTGAACAACCGGGGCCAGGACAGTTAGGTTTTGTGTAAAACAATTCACCCATTCATTCCTCCATCTTTTCTCATCTTTCCCCCATCACACGATTTGGAACTGTTGGGTTTTCAGGACAGGGGCCCGGAGATATAAAAACCTCTCGGAGCAAAGGCGAGAACCAACAACAAACTCAACGCTCGTATAGCGTCACTTCCGGCGGAATTCAAACGCGGGGCACATTAATGGGTTGTGCACCATGCAGCGCTCTTCATCTACGCCTTTCCAATTGAAAAGAAGAAGAATTTCTCTCTTACCCGCGATTTATTTTATCGTTTATTAGGTCAGTAGAGAGATTAAGAGTCACGCTTACGGTAAACGGCAAAAGTCAGATTCATGTGCAGATTTTCTCAGAGTAGAAACTGATAAGCAGATAAAAACTGCGCAGAACAATTCTTATGAATGAAACTGGCGTGAAGCTACTTATTTTTTAGTAGTAGAAGTAATAAAACGTAACCGACAATTAAGGGGAAAACTTGGTGACGTGGTACAAATTCACGTTTGCCGTTTGGTGCAAACCTGAATCTTAATCTCTTTACTATTTTCTTTTCTCCACATGTTCTCCTTGCAAACAAACGAATCGGAATTTGCGCATGTGTAATTTTTTTCAGTCCCTTGTCACGCACGATTCGCAATAGTACTTGGGACGGGTCAGTACACCAACTAGAAAATTAAAACAACTCACTGAATTTTATTTACAATTTTAAGATAGGAAATAGGATATGAGTAAAAGCTACAGCGATAAAATTCGCCTGAAACTCTTGCTTGCTGACCGTTTATCTGCGGATGTCTTTTAGCGCCGCTTAAGAGTGTCCAACTAAAAAAAAGCGTTAGTAAGTGTTCTAAACGATGATAACGTCGGATCACACTACATTGTACGAGAGAGGGAGAGAAAAGTGCAGCCACCCACACCCTTTTACACACCCTACCCCACTCTGTCTCTCCTCCGGTCATTGTCATTTCGCATGACGTAGCAATCCAGGGACCATCTACAAAAATTGCAACTTCAGACGTTACTACTAATGTCTGGCGTTGCAAAGAGTTTGACTGAATGGACTGAACATCAGACGTGAACATTCGCGACAGAAGTTAAACATTTGCGCAACTGGGCCCTGTCATAAAAGATCACTTTTCTGTTGACTGGCATGTTCACGTGAGCAGGAAAGACATGACAACAAGTTTTCTTTCTGCGAAATTGTTCTTTTGAATAAAACACGTTCACCGTCTTTTCTTGGGCTTTCTCTTATCTTTCCTCTTGTGCGATTTCTTCTTTTTACGCCTAAAAATGAAACGTGTTTTGTGTTACTGAATCATGACTCTTGCCACGAAAAATACAATACTTAATAACACAATTCACTGCATTGTAATATTTATAACTATAATAAGAATCCCTGAAGTAAACAGAGTTCAGAGAGTTTATCTTCCAACTAACATGGATAAAGACCCAGAACCAGGGGTTAAACAGTGAGTGCAGATGCTCGTCTATTCAATTGAGCCACCTTTACAGCCGTCTTACAACTCCAAGGTCAAAATTAGCGAAATAACTCGATGGTATGGCCAGTAGCTTACGCATGCGCCTAGCCATATAACTCAAGAAGTGACAGCCATGGAGGGAGAGAGCTGTTTTGCCCTCATTGCAACTCATGAGCATGGGCCCCTGAACACGGCTTTGATCTTACAGCTTTCCGAAGGCTACGCCAAGCTGATGAGCCCTAACGAGGGGCGCAAGAGCTGTCCATGGTTACCACTGCTCGGGTGATGTGACTGTACGCAAGCGTAAGGTACTGGCCATACCGCAGAGTTTAGTAGAGTGTGCTTCCTTGCAGACTTTTGTCTTCCTATTGTTTGTAAGAGCCAACTTAAGACCACCCACATCCTCTTAACCCTACAAATGAACAACCTCGACTGGTATGAATCTTGGGCTGAAGATTTTCGTGAAACTGAGTTGGACTTTGTGTTACCGGATATTCAGAAGCCAAAACTTTAAACATATGACTTCCGGGGGAGAAAAGCGCACGACACCAGTTATCACAAAAAAGAGAAAATATGGTACAAGAAAAGAAGTAACCACCACAAGCCCGCTTGGGATGTGCGGGCAAAAGAAATGTATATAAAAAAGGCTAAACGGCGTTATACTGTATTGAAGAGTTGAAACAACTGAAGCTCTTATTTAGTTATCTGTTTAGCATGGCCTACTTTGTTGGGGGTCAAATAAAGCCGTAGCCACCGTTAGAGGTTTAATTCTCTGAGTTTCCATCTCCGTCTTTCTCTCAAGCCCTGGAGTCCGACCGGGCGCATCGGGTAAAGATGACCGTAAGAAAATCGATTACATTTTCTTCCTCTCCCTTCGTCCACACTATTATAGTCCGACTCGATCTGTTCGTCCACTTTTTCCCTAGAAAGCCTGCTTGCAGACTACGTATGAATGCACCGCCCTCAGGCCTTGAGTTTTTCCTGTGGCTGACGTAAAAAAGGCTAAGTGTTGCACCCAGGAGCTCTCCTGCTTGCACCTTAATGAGCATGCTGGTGTGTCGTGCCCATGCTGCAAATATAGTCATTCCACTCAGTGAACATGTTAAACGTTAAACCTGAAGTAACGGATGTGGTTTTATGGTAATAATAGCTTCTAAAAAGTTTAAATCAGATCACGCAAGTAAACATTATTTTGAATGTGCCTCTATGTTTATTTGTTTTCTTTGGTGACAAATTTTGTTTGTTACCGAAGACTGCAATTAGAGGGCCATCGTACTTTGATAAAAAATAAAACACAAACAGCAGTGATAAACATTGTGAGTTCTTGCATTAGCATACGAGACGTCAAGTTTATAAAAATGCGAAAACTCACAATGTTTATCACCGCTGTTTGTGTTTTATATGGAGGCCCGTTCTGGTCAAAATTAATATAATAAAATGGCATCACAAGTGACTTTTTCGGCCAGTGCAGCATTTATTATGGACCCGTTGAGTATTTTTGTCATCACTACACAGGATTTTTTTAGTGTGTTGTTATTTTTTTTAGCTGCATGAATTATTTTTTAATTAAGGCTGTTTACTTTTTTTATGTTGTTGTATGAATAGATTTTTCATGCGTACCACAAATAATTTTTTAGTGGTACCGCGAATTATTTTTAATACAAGTATTGAGAATTATTTTTTCATCGTGCTGAGAATTATTTTTCGCTGTATCGCGAATTTATTTTTGGTTCTACAATGCTTTGCGGGCCTTGCAGTTGAAGTGGACTGGTTCGAATCTTTGACGTCCTTGAGCGACCATTTTGAAAACTTTGCAAGTGGAGGAGTGTTTTCAAAGAGAATGCCAAGGCGAAACATTGTCAGAGAACTGAAACGACAGAGGTTTTCATCTTTCTTACAAAATCTGTCAGGAGCTAGTAATCTTTGCCGTGCGTGATGAGGTTTTCTGGATCGAAGATTTCATAGAGGAGACTACGAAGGGACTTCACGACTCGTACACAATTGTAACCCTTATTCAGAACATGACATGTCTGCCCGATTGAACTGTGCTTTACCCGGTCTTGTCCTCAAATCTTCGTCTCGTACTACACATGCTGGTTTTCGGAACGAAGACGCAGAGAACGAGAGTGTTCCCTACCCTGAAGTTCAGGAAGAAGCTCCCGATTCTAATCCAGACGGGCGAGCACCAGAAGCAGAGCCAGATGGACTCGAGGTAGAAGACCTATGCTGAGTGCTAGTTAGCGTAGACCTCACTAAATGGAAAATTCGATTGATTTATCTAATGTTTATGTTATGGCATTATTGGCTATATATCTCAGGTATCTGACGTTGGACCGACTCATTCATCTCCGAATATTAAAAACATAATGTTAAAAATCAGGAATTACTATACTGCCATCGTAAAGGCACTCGAGCAAGTTCCCCATGTTAGTTAGTTAGTGAGGTCTACTCTCACTAGCACTCTGCGAAGGTCATCTACCTCGAATCCATTTGGCTCTGCTAGTTCTTATACCCCCCCGTCAGGATTTGAATCGGGAGATTTTTCCTGAAGTTCAGGGTAGAGGGCATTCTCTTTCACAACAATGACAATGACAATGACAATGCTTTATTTATTTGGAGTCTTATACAGTCCTATGTACATTGACTTTATCCAAATAATTTAGAATCATAACACAGATTGCACACTAGTGGAACTATAATCAATGTTAACCTAAAG